TTTTAAAGCTCTGTATCGATTTTTAATCAAGGTTTCCTGCCAACCGTTCATTTTTATGTTGTAGTTCAGTCTCTGACTGCTGGTTGGCAGCAGTGAGCCAGCCATTTGGCTCCTCTACCTCTTGAGTGCCAGAGAGTAAGGGTAGCATTAGCATTGTGAGTAAACATTAGCTTCATGCTCCGATAGCTGAATCTGAGTGGAAAAGACCGACACCCTCTGCCTTCTAAGCTGAGGTAAGGTTACGAACAGATACTTATTTGTCAGAATGTCTGTATATTAAACCAAATTAAGTGTCTCGTGCGCTCTTTTTTTCCAACTTTAGTCAACCTTCACGTTACAGAAAGCTAGCGCATGTCTTTGTAGTAGAGTTTTCTGAGACAATGAATTTTGGTTTTTCTTTTTCTTTTTTTTCCAGTTAAGAGGTTTTTGTTTAACAGAATTTTTGGACCAAAGAAAATCGCAATATATCACAATATATCGCCTTGCTTACAGTATCGCAATACATCAGGATATATCGTATCGTGACCCCTCTGTCATGATATGTATCGTATCACCAAATTTTTCACAATACACAGCCCTATTAACAGTAATATTGTTCTTTTTATTAGCTTATTTTAGTTTTAAACTGTTACATTATTAGCTTCAGTTTTGGTCAGATCACATCCACATTGAGGTAAATAAACACATAGCTTCGACATTTTTATATATATTAGAAAGCTGTTATACACTCTAAAATATTAATAATAATAATAATAATAATAATAATAATAATAATAATAATAGGTTTTATGATCAGTCCTTTTCTTTTGCTATGTTGCCAACATGTTCAGTAAATAGTGTTAAAGCACAAAAAGCAATGAGAGCACATAAGATATAAATCTTCCAGATTCCTCATCATCTTTTTTTTAACTTTCTGCTTTTTTTTCTGCTTTCATGTTTGTTGCTCTTCCAGTACAAGCAGAATCCAGAGATGTTCAAACAGACAGCGAGACTCTGGTCTCACGTCTATGCAGGCGCTCCCGTCTCCAGTCCGGAGTACACACGCAAAATAGACAAACTCTGTGCCATGGGCTTCGAAAAAGTACGTATGTGTAAACGTTTCTCCCCTCCTTGCCCCCTGCAGTTTGTTGAAGTGCTGAACGTCGCTGCAGGTCAAACACTAAAGAGTATTTATTTATTTTATACCCACAGAATGCAGTTATAGTGGCGTTGTCGTCAAAATCCTGGGATGTGGAGACGGCGACAGAGCTCCTGCTCAGTAACTGAATTTTGACGCCCTCTTCAATYTCCTGAGTCCATCTTTCTCTCGTCTCACACTCACTCTCCTCCAAACTCCTGCCATGTGAAGGCGTGTCTTGCTCGATCCTAGCCCTTCTGTTTTACCACCGGACATACTCCACAACCCACCCCCCCACCACCCCGCGTCCCCTCTGTGCGACGTTTCTGTCACCTCCGCTGCACCACACTCCAACCAGCTGCTGTCAGTTCTCACCTCGATTTATTTTTAAATTGTTTTTTTTTTCAAGTTCATTCAACATTCCGCTCAGTGTTTAAATCAGAAATCCAACCTCATCACGCCCCCGCCCTTCTGAAGCAAAGTAGACCTGAAATTTYACCCATCTCTCCCACAGTTTCTCCCAGCTTTGTCCAAGAAGCAGCTGTCAGCAGCGTATCTTTGCCTATGCAGTACATTTATTTTCATTTGGAACCATTTTGTTGAAGAGAATCGAGCCTTTCAGGAGGGCTTTTTTTTGGCACCTGGTTCTCATTCAGAACACTTTGGGCCTGTTTTCAAAATGGGGATTAAGTCTAGTCCTAAACTTTTAAAATTACAATTTCTTTTTCTTTTTTTTTTAAGCTCTATAAACAAAATTAACTCTTATTTGTATTGGGGTTACTCTGAATAGGGTGCTTTAGTTTAAAAAAGTTTAAAGTTTTTGGTAATCAACAGCAAGATGCTGACAACAGAACACGTCTTGCTAGCAAAGTATTGCATTGTGAGCATAGTACATTTTTTTTTAGGTAAAATAAGTATCAAAAGGACGAAAAAAAAACACATTTTTGTGCTGTTAATGCATGAATCGAGCATGTATTGTAGTGCACTATATAGGTCGGCTTATTCTTTGTTCTGGAAAGCGGCTCATTAAGTGTCTTTAAGGTGTTCGCACAGTAGTCCTCTCCAGCCCGAGTTGTCCCCCTCAGATGTGAACATCTGGCAGCTCCCACAGCAGCGCCCCACTTCTCATCGCCACAGGTGGCTCGACATGGCTTTCTTCACCTGTTCCCCCTCACATTGACAAAAACGTCATGAACTTTCATTTGGTTTTGGCCTCCAACAGGGATACTTTTGGATTCTTGTTTTTTAAACCCCAAAGAAATAAAAGAAAAAGTGATATTCTGTAGTAACACAACCTGTGATCATTCTGGAAAAAGAATTGCATCATCTTAATTAAATCAACGGATACAATGTCAATCATTCATCTGTAAATAAAAAGATTAAAGTCTGTGTAAATTAATCGAAACTGTCCCCTTTTTGTGCCTGTAAGACAACTTTTTTATTTATTTATTTTTACTGTGCCAAGTTTTCATCAGTCAACATCAAAAAGCTGCCTTGCAAAAATAGYTATATATTTTTCCTCATTTTTTTCCCCTCATTTTTCTTCAAAGATTACCCTTAGTTACAGCGTTGATGAATTGTGAAGCTGTTTGTGCTTCCTGTTGTGTTGGAGCCAACATTTGTTTACAAGTATGGGTTGAATCTGCATACATTTGAATAAAAATGAGGCAGTAAATTGACTTTTTAGACAAACGGGAATTTAAACCGATGGGGATTTACGTTGCAATAAAATTTGCAACAAGCGGACMAGCTTTGATGAATGCATACAGGCTGTTCATGTCAGGATTTCTTTGTTGTACTTTGTGCTTTAACTGCTGTTGTGTTCAACTCCCAACTGGAGTCTGTATAAGCTCAGCCCAGTTATCAGATCTTTTCTTTTTATTATTAGCTGCACATTTACAGATGGCCTGCTTGTTTTTCCTGTGTTGAATCTGTCCAAGAAACTCTGGCAGTGGACGCAGCATCGTTTCACTACTTGTTAAAAAAAAAAAATCATTTCGGGTTTATTTGTTCTGTGCTTCGGCTTTAATGTGGCTTTCTTTCTGGGTTYGAGTATATCTGACACAACGTTTTTAGAAATAGCTGCTCAAAAGTATTTCTAACCCCTTTATGAACTGGCACCCCAGCCCAATAAATGAAAAATAAAACTTTAAGGCCTCAGCTTGTTTTGGTAGAAGTGTTTCCTGATCGGACCCAGCTCAGGATGCCTGTTTGTCAGACCTGTGTGTGGTGAGGCGATGGTTCGTGGGCATCCTGTTTCCCCTCAGTCTCCTCCTGCTATGTGATAGCCAGAGTTTTATTCCCAGCCAGCAGACGTGCTGCCTCCCCTGCCAAGCAGCCAGAGCAGTGAGGACAGCAGCCAGGTGAAACAGTGCCCTGCTATCTGCAGCCGRGTTCAACTGGGGTTTAATGGACAGCATGTAGAGCTTTCAGGGGAGGAAAGGCAGGACTCTTAAAGATAACTGATTCAAATTACCTTTAGATTGTTCTTGAGATATACAGAAATGCTCCAGATGATCCAAGTTATCTGTTGGACAGTGCTGCTTCCTGAAGGTGAGTCTTTAATTGGGGTTATTTTATAAAAATTAAAACATGTTTTATAGTCTTTGTGTTCAAATCGCCCTTTGAAGAAAGCAGCTGTTGTGCAAGTCTTGAATTTTGCATGGCTTAAACTGCTGAGCTGAATAGTCTCCTCTAGCAAATTCAATAATGTTTTTTATGCTAAGTATATTGTTTTTTATGACAKTAACACTGAATACAGAAAACAGCATTTTCTGCCAAATTAATCAGAATGCTGAGGGCTAAAACTGAAACAAATGGGCAAAAACCATAGCTGAAAACTGAAATGCAAAAATAAAAGCTAAATTGACCAAACTGCAACTAAAGCTTAAATTAGCTAAAATTTAAAGTTAAAACATAGCTGAAAGTTAAAATGAGAAAAACTTGTTATAAGCTAAAATAGGCAGAAATTAGCAAAAAAAAAAAACTAAAATTGATAATAGCTATGATTTAAATTCAGCAGAGCAATAAATCAGAGATACTTGTAAAATTTCAGTTAAAAGCGAAAAGTAGCAAAATTTTTACTTGTAAAACTAGATACTAAAACTACCAGTTTATTTCTAAAAGTAGCACAAGACAAAAAAGCAAGTATGCTGAAGCAAAGAAAATATTCTGAATGAATTGAGACATTTGGTGAAAAAAATGTTAGCAATTAACTAAATATTTAAAAAAGTTCAAAAGTTGCAAATACCAAAACTCTTCACAAACTGAGCATTTTAATAACTAAATGTGTAAAATACAACAAAGTATGAATAAGTAGTCTGACTGCAACAAAAAAAAATCACAAGAAACTAAACTGTACTAAACAGGAAAATAATTGTGTGAATGCTGATTCATCATTCAGTGATAGCCCACTTCATTGGAGTTATGATCTAATTAATGAGAGAATCATATATGAAGTATATTTAGGCTACAGTAAGTTGACATTAAAAGGGATCGTTTGCAAACCTATAATTATAAAATAACAYGACCCTCCTTACCCCCTGCCCTCAGTGGTTCACTGTGCGCAGGGTCACTTTGCCCAAAAGCTCCTGAATGATCTGATGGAGAACTACTCCAGCGCCCTCCGGCCTGTGGAGGACACAGACCAACCTCTCAACGTCACCTTAAAGATCACCCTCTCTCAAATCAAAGACATGGTGAGTACCAGCTCATAACCTCGTAATGTGGCACACCCATATATTTTTGTAAAAAAAAAAAACATTTCTTTGCCTTTGCTGTTCAGTAAAGGGGATAAATGTCAAATAAACACTGTCTTGATCCTAAATATGTAGATTTAGTCATTACCACGAGCCCACTGTGTCTTGCAGCAGCATAACAGAATTAACAGTCAGCACAAACTTAATTAGCCAAATAATTACGCTTCATTAAAACTTGTGAGCTGTACACTTTGACTAAATGAATTYGACAAGTAAATACAATAAAACTGCGAGAAACGATCCGGGACAAAAAGAAGTAACGTGAATGCTTGGTTTTGATCTGAATTTTCATTCCTTCATGGATGTGGATCACTTGGCCTGTAACAGCTGGTGTTCATAAAGGCCAGGCAGACATTTAATTGTAATTGTCTGTTACTCATCTGGTTCAGATTCCCRCTCAGGTTCAGCGCCGTCACCCACCAGTGAGTGCTTCCACCTGAATGTGATATCTCTGTTATACTGTCTGTTATTTTCACTGTTGCATTACAGTTGACACAAATTAGAAGCAAACCACAGATGTGTGTGTGTATGTGTGTTTTATTATTCAAAGCACCTATGTGGTCTCTGTTTATGTACTGCCTTTCACCTGATATTGACAGATGTTGTCATGATAAGCTGAGGTGTAGCTGTCCAAGTTGCAGACAAACAGCAGCAAAGGTGATCTGGAGATGATGGTCCCCTATTTCTACATTTAAATAAAAGGAATAAGGAATACACTCGCCACTTATTTAAAAAAAAAACAACCCTTGTATACATTTTACTTTAATTTACAATAGGTTGCATGCCCAATTACCTGTCCAGGGTGTACCCTGCCCCTCGCACTGTGACTGCTGGATATGGGCACCAGTGACCCACGCAACCCTGAAAAGGAAGAAGCGTGTACAGAAAATGGATGGATGGATGGATGGATGCATGCCCAATTTTGCATTTCATGAAGCATATAAAGAAAACACAACAAGCATTTCATAATAATCATACATAAGATTTATAAGATCTTTTCGTGGCTGCTTTTAATTTGTATTTGTGACTAACGGGTTGAACATTGAGCAACTGCAGAGCCTTTGACTTAAAATAATAACTATCTTTTAAACGTTTGAAAATAAGCCGATCCATTTGAACACACACAGGCAATTACACGATTTCTTGTCTTGTGGCAGGGATTAATAAATGAACTCATGACTTCAACACAGAAAGGTCTGGATGCAAACCTTACTTAGTCAAAGAAGTAAAACAAAAAATAGCTAATAGTGTATATGATTAATCCGATTTTATCTGTTTGTGTGAAGGATGAGAGGAACCAGGTTCTGATCGCCTACCTGTGGATTAGGCAGACCTGGCATGATGCGTACCTCAGGTGGAACAAAGAAGACTACGATGGTCTGGATGTCATCCACATTCCCAGCAGCCTGGTGTGGAGGCCTGATCTTGTCCTCTATAACAAGTACTTTAGCCTACACACAAACACCAGTTTAAAATTTGCATGAATGCGTTTATCAAAAGCCTTTTTAAATATCATCATAAATGGATTTCACATTTAAATAACTGCTTGAAATAATTTCACGCTGACAATGCTATTTTAAATGTGTGAACAGTTTTAATCCACAGTTACACACGTGTCAATGATTTCTGATCCTTCATTTTTGTTCTGCTCTAGAGCCGATGATGACTTCTCAGGACCGATGGACACCAACGTAAGGCTGCACTACAATGGAGAGATAACTTGGGATGCGCCTGCCATCACTAAGAGCTCCTGTGAGGTGGATGTCTCCTACTTCCCATTCGATAGCCAGGAGTGTAACCTCACATTTGGTTCGTGGACCTACAATGGCAACCAGGTACAGAAAACCACCCCTGCACCCAGGGTCGTCCACACGTCTGTCTGTAAACATAAACTAAAACATTTGCCTCGTCGCTCACCCCAAMCCCAGGTAGACATCATTATGGGCATGGACAGCGGTGACCTGTCAGACTTTGTGAAAAACGTGGAGTGGGAGTGCCACGGGATGCCGGCGTCTAAAAACGTCATAATGTACGGCTGCTGCCCCGATCCGTACCCAGACATCACCTACACGGTGCTCCTACAGCGCCGCTCCTCTTTTTACATCTTCAACCTCCTCCTGCCCTGCTTCCTGATCTCCTTCTTGGCTCCTCTGGGTTTCTACCTGCCTGCCGACTCTGGGGAGAAGGTTTCCCTCGGGGTGACKGTTCTCCTGGCCCTTACTGTGTTCCAGCTAATGGTGGCTGAGAGCATGCCGCCTTCAGAGAGTGTGCCGCTTATAGGTAAGAGGGGTGTTCTCTAGGATTAAATCAAAAATGTATTGAGATTTAAAGTGCCTGTRACATGCTTATCCTTCAGATACAAAAAGTCAAAGAAAACATAGTTCTGTTTAAGAAACTTGCCATAACACACACTATTTTACCCATTTGGACACAACTGGCCTACTTTCTTTTGAACTTATCTTGCCAAAAGGGAAACAGGAAGTTACATCAAAGGGGAACTCCTTTAAGAAAAAGAACTTGCTGGTCTTTTTTTTTATTGAAACATTATTATTTGAAAGCTGACTTTTTTGTTTCTGTCTGATGGTGACTCAAAATAATGTATAGAAACATCAGATTTCTCTCCACAGTCTGGGCTGTTGAACATTTTAGCTTATTAGCTCTGTTTTCATGCAGACATTCCCCTTTGACATCACTTCCTGTTACTTCACATGCAAATATCTTAACAACTGTGCCTCTCAGCAGCATGACATTTATTTTATAATATGTTCTCAGTATTATCGTTTTAAAAATGCATTTGAATGATTAYAAAAATTTTGACGTCACAGGCACTTTAATGTTGTTTTCTGAATAAAAAACCTGGTTAAGGAGTTTCAAAGATGACCAAAAACAGGCAAAAATTAAATATTGATCATTTCTAAAAGGAGCAGAAGCAYGGGGTGTCAAATGTAAAAATTCAACAGGGGAAAAAAAACATTTTCCCTCACATTTAGTGGGAAATACTAAATATAGATGTTAAATCCATTGCTAAATATTATATCTTCAATACATTCCTATTCAGTATCTATTATATAT